TGTAAACACTTCTACTCTCTGCAGCTTCAGACAAAGCGGGAGTCTTTTCATATTAGCAAGCCAGGCAATCGCCCACTTGTTAACATAACTTGGGCAGCTCCCGGCCCTCAGTCCTGATCTGCAGCTCCTCCCATTCCGCTATGAGGATGACATCGGTGGTGGGCTGGAGGCTCAGGGGAGGACATCCCAGAAGGATTAGTGCCTCTGCTCTAAGGTACCATAGGACTGTGCAGGGTAAGGATTGCATTAAAAGGGACATTGTGTTATGTTAAGCAGCACTATGTTGTGTTAAGGGGTGCTGCGTTGTATTAAGGGGTGCTGCGATGTAAAGGGGCAGTGATGTGAAGAGGAACTGGGGACATTGTGAGAATTCTTTAAAGAGGGGACAGTGATGTAGGAAGACTAGTGTGAAAGGTACGCTAAAGATGATAATGTACCAGGGGACTGTGATGTGTTATATCGCTAACGAGATTCGGGCCTCTGCTGAAAGGAAATTTTGCTGACTGGACCTCCATAAATTTTAATTCAAGACCCCTAAGGTAAATTTGACCCTTTGGAATTAACTTTTTCTACAGTAATATACCATAAAATGTGCTCTGCTCCTCATCTACGTCACAAAAATAGACAAAGTACTTCAGCTGACCACACAATTTAATTTTTAGTGTGTTTATTGAACACATCCATTAAACATTTACAGTGCTGAAGGAAAAAATAGGCAAACCCCTGGAGTTAGTAGTTAAAAGCAAGCACATTTGGTAGCTCTAGATCAGACCTGCACTACTTTCCAGAATGACCTTTTTTTTTTTTTAAAAGAAGAAACTGCTTCAGCTCAGACACATTTGTAGGATGTCTGGTGTGAACTGCTCTCGAGGTCATTCTACAGCATCTTTATGGGGTTAATGTTGATTTCCAGACAATTTGTCGGTCAACTGAAGGATGCCTAAACACATTGAGATTGCTTTGCATCCCTTTCCAATATTATGCCGATCAACTACTGTTGATCAAAGGTCTTCAGAGAGCTACTATTTGTGAGGTATGGTTCACATCAGCTGATGCTTCTTATGAACAGCAATCTTAAAATGTTTGAGTGCCTTTTATCAGCAGCTCTGAACCACTCCAAACTAATTTTTTATTAATTGGATTCCAGGTATGCAATCTACTGACTCCAATCAATTAGTTGTTGAAGTTAAGTAGGCTATGGGCTCACTTACGTTTTCCTCCAGCACTGTGAATGTCTAATGGATGTGTTCAAGATATGAGAAATTAGAATTGGTTGTGTTTTGTCAGCTTAAAAAGGACATTGGATTTGTCTATTGTGAGATAGATGATGATCAGATCACATTTTATAGTTTTTGGTTCTATAGTCTTCAATGGAAACACTGCAGAAAAGCATGTAGTGCGTTTTTGATGTGGAAAATGCTTCGGTGTGAACCTAGGGTAAGCGGAAGCCAGGTTGTTCTGTGTCTCTCATATCACAGGACTGTTGCATTGATAAATTCGAGCTGCTGAGCTATGACATGCTGAGGAGTAGCAGACACATATACAGCTCCAATGTTTAAATAAAATTCCCTTCACACTGAGGACCAATAGGCACTAAACTTAAGGGCTCGTTGATACCATGCGTGCATGAAAACTGATGGGAAAACTATGCAGATTGCAGAGACATGAGTTTATATAAGTTTTCCATGTGTGTTTCAGCAAGTTTTTATGCAGCCGGTATCAGTTTTCATGTGTGTCCATTATGTGCCCTGTTCGTAACAACGTTGATGTCGTGTATGGTTTTTTTAATGCAGAAAACTGCATACACGTTGCAGATCCATGCGCAGAAACAAATCTGCACGATACCAGTATTGGGGTGTGAACAGGACACCGAGAACTATTTTTTTTTTTTTTTTTTTGGTGCCCTTGCAGAACAAGTGCAGAAAAACTCGAGTCTTTGCACCATGGTGTGAACAAGTCCTTATTTTTATGAATTTGCACTTTTTTTTTTTATTCAATTGGAATGCAAACAGGAATTATAATGTTTCTCCAACTGGGGGGAAAAATAAATAAAAAAAATTAAACCACACAGTAAACCAAATAATTGTATTTTTTATTGCCAATGTCACAGAAGCAAAAAGTTACATAAAGCAATGTGGCGAAAACCGCAAAACAGGAGAAAAACTTTGATGGCTTTGCTAGAGTTGTGGTTGTGGATCCAATAACTGTTGACTTCCAAAGTGGAGGCTTTGTTTATAGTCTACAAAAACTGCAATGTGCAGTAAAGCAAGTTCATTCCACACACCGCAGCTCAATCAATACAGTAAATGCATCTGCAAATGTGACAAGGCACCTTTAGAAGAGCTGAACTCGCAGAGACAGCAGTCTAGGTTGGGCCTATTAATTGCTGAACAATTGAAATGTGTCCTTAAGAGTTTAGAAAACTGTGAGGTAACAAAATATAAAAAAGTAGAGAAGATGCTGTTCCAGAAATCACACAGAAATCCAAAGCACCCTATTTCACAATTCATTCTAAATGTATGGGGCTGATTTCTAAATACTGAAGAAAAATGTGATGTTGCCCCTAGCCACCAGATATCAAGCTTTAAAAACGTAATAATTGGCACTGGAAAAGCAAAAGGAGGATTAGAATTGTTGCCATTAGCAGCACTGCCCCTTTTCCTGTGGTCATCTTGCAAGAATGCTAGCCTGTGCAGACATTTGACTTAGGGAAATGTCCATAATATACTGATGCCTTTTAGTGAAAGGAACCAATCTGGGAATACTGTTCCCCTCAAAACTTTATTTTCTGTCAAGTTATACCTTAAACATATCAATGTGAATTAGTGTAAAACACAGAAGTTCAAAAATAAATTCAACAGGGGGGTAACATTTCTCCCCATGTATTAATCCAATATGCACCAAAACCTACTTAAATTCCACGGATGTGAACCTGTGAATTCTCATTTATTAAAATACAAGTCCAGGCAAAGGTTTCTCTCCAAGTTTCAGAAGTACTTGGGAAGAGTAAATACTTATGCCATTATGGGATATTTCACTTTTGTTTAGGTTTCTATGACAGTCGCACATGAAATAAGGGGAACAGTTTTCACTAGGACATAGAAGCAGTCAAAACTTGGTCCAGATGGTATAACCAATGCACATTTTTACTAAAAACATAGTTTGTAGCATTGCCTACACTGGAACAATTTCCGATCGCTTACTGTCCTGACAGAAAGTGAAGGAAAAGCTCCCCAAGCAGGACAAAGACTACAAATAAAACCATAAAAACTTGACAGTGGTTCTGACCAAAGCTACACACTTTAGAGTCGAGCTCCAGGCACAAAAAAAGTTCATCCAAATATACTCATCATAGCTGCAAAAGGTTAAGAATCCACTTTGTGTGCACCAAATGTCTTTGGAAACCCAGACATTACCTTGTAAAAGTAATGAATGACATATCTGTGCTGCACATAGCCTGTTCAAAGTACAGAGCTGTGGGAGGGACCCTGTAACCCCACTCACTACAAGCTGTCTGAAGAAAATGTAGGCGAGGGGGTCAGTATCAGCAGTGACTGGTCTTAAAACTCCAGCAGAGAAGCAAAGTATAGGAGTTGTTTCATACTAGGTAATTGCAAAGATATGGAAACATTACAGAAAGGACACCAAGATTCATGGAAGAATAGCCTGGATTTCCGCTTTACAAAAATGTGTGTCCCTCAATACTTAACATTTTACATCCAAGGGAAAAGTCCATAGACAAATCGATCATTAAACAAAACAAATGCATAGGATTTCCCCAGCACAATCTAGAATTTTATCAGATAAAGGCATGTTGGCCACAGTCATTAGTCTAAGGTTATCTTTGGCATTTCAAACAATCACATTTTAATATTAGCATTGCATGCCCAGGAATAATTTTGAAAAGATTAGGCAATACTAAAACTTCTGGATACAACAGGTATACAAAACTGATCTATACATGTAGAATTGCAGATTGCCCTAAAAAAAAAAAATAAACAGGGTCATTCATCATAAAAATGTGGTATGTTTTTCTATATCAGACAAAAAAAAAACTAAGTTTGCATGATTTATATTTTAATTTGGCATTTGATATTCATGTTTGATTAAAGATTCTTGATTGTTTTTCAACACTGCTTTTAAATTAACATGTATCCAAAGTTGTTAATATAATAAATTCCTTCTAAAAATACTGAATGTTAATAGCCAAGTTTAGTTAAAGCAAAAAAAAAAAAAGCCCTAATGGATATTCTTTGATATAAGCATAATATATATATATACTTTATTCAAAAAAGCTGATTTTATTTTGTCAATAAAACTGATTTCATGGATAGGAGAGCTAAATTTTAATGAGAAAAGTGTCATACGAGTTTAAAAAAAAATGGGAGTGAGCTACTCCCCCAATAAGGTGACAAGTTACCAGTAACTGTCAGTAGAAAAAAGTTATTGCTGCAATTCCCAGACCAGGCCTTTTCAAGCTGCAGCTTAAATCGATAGTGTCAAAGCTGCTAGACTTAAGAATGGGATAGTTCCATTCCACAATCGTTTTAATTTGAAGGGAACCTACAGCAGATTCCTCTTTTTCATTACAAACCAATCACACGCACCCACTCGCGCACACACAACCCTTCATCTGCTGCATAGAAGATTGTCTCTCTCTTTCTAAAGTGCTGCACCACCCACAGCACTAAGTAAACATGCCAAGTAGTTATTGATATCATACAAACCCAGGGAAATGGGGATTCATGAATACTCATCAGGAGCAGGCCTTTGTGAAAAAAGAGGGGTAAGAGGGTGTACCTTGAAGCAAGGAAAGATGAAATGACTGACACCCAGAAATCAGCACCTCATAAGAAAATAAAGTGGAAGTGAAAGGAGTTGTAATCCCACTCTCTACCTTCTATGCTCCATTCCTTTCAGTATCCAGCTATTAACCACCTGAGCCTCCCACAAGAGCTGCTTATACCCTCATGAACGAAATGTTTGGACACAGTGCAGAACTAACAGAAGAGCTTGACAAAGCAGTTCTGGCAGTATGGCTTGTCATTCTGCTCTTTGAAGGTTCCTTTGTTGAGCTGCTTAAGGCAAAAGGCACAGACAAAGTGCTCTGGATGGAACTTCTTCCCCATTGCAGTGATACAGCGGCCAGTGATGGGCTTTTGACAGCCAGAACACAGCGATCCACGGCGTTCGTGATAATGAACCTCACAATATGGCTGCCCGTCGTGTTCGAAGAAACTCCCATTAACAAATGGAGTAAAGCATTCCTGGAAACAAACCACATGATCTATTTAGCTATTAAAACAATGTTACAGAAGAGGCAGTACAGAAAATAAAGATTCCATATCTTAGAGTACAATACAAGACACACAAAATCATTCACAGACCATGGGTTATATACTGCTACCTTCAGGTGATTGGACACTGGTTGAACCTTAGCTGGGTTTGCGCCTAATGTCCTTCATATAACCCTACCCATTCCATGAGACTGCAGCTTTGTTAGCAAGCAATAAAGGGATCACAGAGAACTGTACGTAAAGAAACAGAATTTACAGTTACATCAAAATTCTGCATCTTTATCCTACAGTACAGGACTCCAAAATGAATTGATTATTGGATGTCCCTAAAGTTATAATCAACGGGTGGGTAACAAGGGGTGGGCAACAATACAGATAAACAGCACCAAAAAGTTGGGAAAAAAGGTGGCAAAGGCCAAAACAAAAAGGTTATACAGTAAAAGCACCTTGCTGCTGGAGCAAAAGTAGAAACTCATCAACCAGCTAGCAACCACAGTATGGAAGAAAAGTAAATAAAATTTAGGCAGTGACTGCACTCTAAGGAGTAGTGCAGACTGAATGACAACAATTTGTACAAACTACTAAGGAATCCCCTGGTTATCCCAGGGGCTGAGGAAGAACTCCAATAATCTAGTACCTCAAAGACATGGTGAAGGGGAAAAGCCAATCTTGTGAGTAAGAGGTGGTCTACAGGAATAGGTAGACAGGAGGGGAGAATAACCTGCAAACTGCTTTCGCTAAAAAGGAAGAAAATCCCTGACATCAGAGCGTTAGACTTTCAAGACTCCTGTACCTCTGTATCTAACTATAAATTAGACAAATGGCTGTTTCAGAAGGGACTTTGTGAAAGCCTGGCTACTAACTAAAATAGTTCATACCAATGCCAATGATCTTTTGCAATTCATTATGTAAAGCCTTCCTATGTAGGAGATGGTAAGTCCTTAAATCTTTTCCCGAGTAGGAAAGACTAACACCCATTGTAATGCTAAAGTGAGAATGGGATAAGGAAATTTTGTTTCTTAGTGAGCAGAAAAGAACTATAGAGAGGAGAGGACAGCAACTAAGAATAAGTGTACAGCACGGGATACATATTGTACAGAAAATTGTGAAATAGAATAGTGGGGTCTGAAACCTTTCCCATCCGTAGCTACCACAATGTATTAATTGGGGGATGCCAAAAAGGCATCTTTCCTGCACCACAAATTACCATAGGTTTCTGCACATAGGCACAGAATGTAGACATTCTGGGGATTTGACAGATTAAGTCCTCCATGGCATCTACACAGACTATTAGGGCAGCAGGTAAGGAGGAGGAGAGGCAAAAGAGTGCTTGTTGATAGCTCCCATCTGATTCCAAAAGGGGATGTAGTCTCTGGAATAGGGCAGACATTATGGCTTTGAATTCAGCTTTAGTCAAAAAGGTTGGATGTAGTGCACCTATAAGAGAACTCAAGCCGTGGGGTTAGAGCAGTGCTGGTATTATACCTTGGGGAGTGGGGAAACCACTAACAACCTTAGAGAAACTTGGAGTTTCTTCAGAGCTCATGGCAGACTCACTGCTGTCGTGTTCCCGCTCCCAAGTGCCTGCAATCCTTTATTGCCAAGTGAAGGTCTTACCCTGCAGGGTACTCATATGGATTAGGGGGTGGTACATATCTGGTATGAGGGAATCATGGCAACCCAGGAGGAGTTCCAATGGTTGTTTCCTTTTGGAGTAGGGCAACAGGCGGTTTGTCAAATGTTCAGAAAATGGCAGCTGGAAGTGCGCACCTAAGAGTCTTATAAGTACTACATCAGTAACCAGAAACTTTCAGTTGAGAGGTGGAAATAAAAAATGAGTCAAATTGAATAGGTAAATAATACAATCTAACATAACCTATTAGTCTGAATATTGATACAATAATCTTAGGGAAAAACAGAGTTCACATTCCTAATCCCCCTTTGCCCTAGGATGCGCTTGTATGCAGAGCACTGAGGTATGTCTTGCAGGATATAGCTGTAGTTTATACTACAAAGCCATGAATAATCTTAAAAACAGTATGTGCAAAGGGTACAGGAAAACCCTCTTACCTTGTCCATGTCACTTGTCCCATCCAGGGCGCAGAGGGGTCTTCAGGGTCTGGGTGCCAAAAAAACTGACCAAGGCCTTGGACCTATATGGCACCCTGCGACTAACTACATTTATTGCACTACATGGTAAGGTAAGAAACTCTTCTCCAAGACGAGGTGTTCATTACCCAATCAAAAAACTAGAGCCTCACAAAGTGAGCAGGATTAGGGGACGAACTCAGTGATGCCTTTGGCAGTGTCCAGTTTCCCGCAGGTAGTGGTATATAACCCATGGTCTATGAATCGATTCCTGTGTCATAATTAATAAGTGTGTGTATATATGTGTGTATATCTACACACATACATACATACATATACACACACACGCGCACACACACAGTGCCTTGAAAAAGTTAAGTATTCATACCCCTTGAAATTTTCCACATTTTGTCATGTTACAACCAAAAGCATAAATGTATTTTGTTGGGATTTTATGTGATAGACCAACACAAAGTGGCACATAATTGTGAAGTGGAAGGAAACTTATAAATGGTTTTCAAAATGTTTTACAAATAAATATCTGAAAAAGTATGGCGTGCATTTGTATTCAGCCCCTTTTACTCTGATACCCCTAACTAAAATCTAGTGGAACCAATTGCCTTCAGAAGTCACCTAATTAGTAAATAGAGTCCACCTGTGTGTAATTTAATCTCACTATAAATACAGCTGTTCTGTAAAGCCCTCAGAGGTTTGTTCGGGAACATTAGTGAACAAACCGCATCATGAAGGCCAAGGAACAGAACAGGCAGGTCAGGGATAAAGTTGCGGAGATTTTTAAAGCAGGGTTAGGTTATAAAAAAATATCCCAAGCTTTGAACATCTCATGGAGCACTGTTCAATCCATCATCTGAAAATGGAAAAAGAGTATGGCACAACTGCAAACCTATGAAGACATTGCCTTCCACCTAAAAAGCATTAATCAGAGAAGCAGCCAAGAGGCCCATGGTAACTCTGGAGGAGCTGCAGAGATTCACAGGTCAGGAGGGAGAATCTGTCCGCAGGACAACAATTAGTCATGCACTCCACAAATCTGGCCTTTATGGAAGAGTGGCAAGAAGAAAGCCATGGTTGAAAGAAATCCATAAGAAGTCCATTTACAGTTTGCAAGAATCCATTTTGGGGACACAGCAAACGTAAAAGAAAGTGCTCTGGTCAAAGAAGACCAAAATTGAACTGGCAGAGACATCCTCAAAAAGCCTTGCAGCTGTAACTGCAGTGAAAGGTGGTTCTACAAAGTATTGACTCAGGGAGGCTGAATACAAATGCACGCCACACTTTTCACATATTTGTAAAATATTTTGAAAGCCATTTATCGTTTTCCTTCCGCTTCACAATGAAGTGCCACTGTGTGTTGGTCTATCTAATTCCAATAAAATACATTGTTTTTGGTTGTAACATGACAAAATGTTGAAAATTTCAAGGGGTATGAATACTTTAGCAAGGCACTGTGTATGTACACAATATTATATATATAACAAACCCCTTATTTTAGGGAACCTAATAAAAACAGGTTACCCTGCCCAAAAACACATATCCAGTATCACTGCATCAGAAAATGAGCAATCAATGGTAGAGAAGTAAACTGGATAAAAGTTAAAAGCTATTCATAAAATCTAAAATAAACCTGTGTTCAGAAAAAAAATTAAACTTGGCATTGCTGATCTCTATCCCTAAAAATACTCATTAGTTGTCAATCCTTTCGAATGCATTCAATACAAAATCACTAAACCAACAATCAGCATGCTGACCAGGTGATCAGACTTTATTTTCTTTACCATTGTTGTTCTGTCAATAAGCCAATGTATTGAAGTAGGGAGGCATCCAGGTACCTTGCATTTTTAGCAGCAATGTTACCTGTATTTTTCTCAATATAGGTTTCCTTTAAAAAACGCCAGAACATAAATGCAGTCTTGTTAAATGTCAGTTATCCTGATTATGAATAACATGGTGACTAACCAGCTCTGAGATAAATTGATAAGACCGGTTTGGGGCTACCAGGCATTCAGATTTCCTTTTTGACAGGCCCTTTTAGCCCTCATGCACACAGTAAGGCATTTAAAGAGGTTTTTTTTCTCCTAAAAGGAGTTTAGCAGCATTTTTGGACCTCATGCACATTGCAGCTCGAAAAAGCTGCTCCTACAGGCGTTTGAACAGTTTTATGCTTTTATTTTCTCTGCCTGTTAACTCTCCTCCATATTAGCCTATGTGTCCATTCACATTACAGGCAGTTTCAGGAGTTTAGTGGCAGGGGAACTTACAGGCAGAAAAAAAAAAAACCCCCTTTGAAGTGTTACTATACACAGGACCCTGCATCCACTATATCCGGGCTCCCACAGTACAAAGAACATGGAAGTGCAATTATTTTAGTAAATATAAACTGCAAAATACCTTTTCTCCTCAGCAGTTAGAGCAGTATTGTGGCTTCTGTGTCCAGCCCAACACTAGCTAAAACTTGTAGGGGGAGCTTTCTTTCTGCTCTAGAAGGATGGAAATCCCCTGAACTCTGTCTGGACAGTGCTTATTGGCCCTGTCCTGATCACATGCACTCACCCAAGAAAGAAAAAAAAACCTCTCTAGCAATATACACCAAACTGAGCAAGTGCATGCCTACAGTTCAGTCTGGAGATAAGTGGTGGTTGCTTGAAAAAGGGGAGGAACAGAAGACAGGATCAAACAGCCTTTTTACACACTGTAGAGGAGTAACCCATTAGGTTCCACGGTGAGTATAACAAGCATGCTTTACTGCATATACAGACTTTTTACTGTTGTGGGTTTAGTAACACTTTAAGGCCTCATGCACAAGGGACATTTTTGCAGCCAAACTTAAGGGTGTCAGGTATTTGTTTTTCACAGCCTCCAAAACGCCCTTCCATAGTTTCCTGTGTATCCATGCACACAGACTTTTAGAAGGTTTTAGAGGCAGAGGCTTTTAGTAGCGGTTAAAGAAAAGAAAAAAAAAAAAAAACCCTACTGTCAGTGCACCCAGAAGCAGCAGCGTTTTGGCAGAAAAACCATTTGACGTGTGTAAACACATCTAATGGCGCCTAATTATGTGTTAACGCTGAATTATTATTCTGGCCAATTAAATTAATGTCCAAGGGCTTGAAACCTGTAAACATGTTAGGCACTTTTGCAAGTGTCAGGCGATTTTTATGCCAAAACGCTGCTGCAAAGAAGAGGAGCGTTTTTAAAACATCCTGTGTGCATGAGCCCTAATAATGTTTTTTTTATGCCTGCAAACTCCCCTGCCACTTAACTCCTGAAAATGCCTATAGTGTGCATGGACACATAGGCTAACATGGAGGGGAGTTTTCAGGCAGAGGAAAAAAAAAAAGCTCCAACACCTCTACAAGCAGCTTTTTTGATCTGCAGTGTGCATAAGGCCTAAATGCCATGTTGCCTTTTGGACATCACTGAACTTAAACCGCCAAACAAAATATGGGCACAGTAAATAGCTTTGATCACTATTTAGTAGCACATTTATAAAGCAGTGAATCTGACATCCACTGCTGGTCAAACTTCCTGGTGCATGTTTTACATGACGGCAATTGATTCAACAGCACTGAATGTTAGGTCACAGTTATATTCACTGCTTTATGAATATGCCCCATAAACAAAGCAAATCTAAACCCAAAACCAAAAATGTAAGATATTAAAGAACACCAGTCCTTAGATGTGAATGTAGCCTTAGTCTCCTGTGTGGTTCATGTGCAAATCACAGCCAATTGGCAGTTTAGTCATGTTGAAAATACTGCACATTAGAGGCAAATAATGTGGACATTATAAAGTGAAAGTGGTCGATGAGCAGAAAAGAGGTTCTTACCCTGCAAACAAAGCACTCCGGGTGCCACAAGGTGTTCAGAGCAGATATATAATTCTCCAAGATGGCATGGGTACATCCACCACACTTGGGAGCAAACATATCAAAGTAATCCTTACGACAATAGGCCTTACCATCCCTCTCATGGAAGCCTGTGAAATGGAGGTATGTTAGAACAAAAACACATGCATTGTGCCTTACTTCATACATTACCAAATATGACTACATCCAAAGAAATGTATTACAACACAGTTTTCACATTGCTTTTTGAAAACCTCTCCTGGGTTACTGAAGTATATTACCTTCTGGGCCAAAAAATGCTCCACACTGTGCACAGAAGAAATGTTCAGGATGCCATGTTCTGTCTAAAGCAGTCACAACTTTCTGTTGAATAAAGATAAAAATACTGTGTTAGGCCTATTACATTGAATAAAACACTGTCCTTTTACAAACAAAAAAAACTTACTTACATCCAGTATGGGCCCATTACAGTAGAAACAACGTGGGGAGAATAGATTGTGATAGTCTTTTTCACAGTAAGGCTGACCATCTCGCTCAAAGAAGTTGCGTGATCCAATTTCCTCCTGGCAATGGGTGCATACAAAGTGTTCAGGATGCCAGGTCCTTCCCATAGCTGTGACAACCTGCAGACAAGAAAAGATTATCAGCGTCCGCTGAAAGTTCACTAAGGACCTTTCGTTTCAACACCAAGAAACTATACTTACCTGACCAGCAATTGGCTTCTTGCAAGCTCCACAAACACCCTTGGCCACAGTGGCTACTCCCAGCTTGTTAAGGTCAGACTGCAGGCTTCCCAGCATGTTGTCTAGCTGACTGCCTGGCTTTGGAACACTGGAAGGAGGAGAGCTATTCACAGACTTTCCTTGAGCCATGAACTGTAAGACAAAAAATAAAGGGCAAGCTTTCAATTACAGAATCCTGTTCCTCTTATGTAGTCCCAATTTCAAATTGGATGGACAGGTTGACATTATAACTGCATCACACAAAGTATATACCAAAGATGTTTCATTAGCGGTAGCAAGAGACCTAGAGGAAGGATTACGATAGTCATAACCATGTATGAAATCCTCATCTTCCTGTGAAGCCCACGAAGGGGAAGGTGGAAGGAAAGGTACCGATGACTAAAGACCAATACAAAAAGAAAAAAAAAAATATGTTGACTAAGCCACTGCACAAGATGCTGCCCAGCATGCAAATTGACACACTGATTAAACACATGCACCATCTATCCTACAATTTCTAAAACTGATATGCCAGCTAGTTTTCCACAAAAATATTTACCAAATTGGTTTGTGAAACTGTACTATTCTAATACTCTAAAAAGGTCAAAGACCACGCACAGTAAAACAACCTGCCTTATTTGGAGGAGAAGGGTTCAGAGGAGGACGTGAAGGAAAGACTGCCACATCAGTGGAAGCAAAAGGAGAGATCATCTGAAAGAAGGTTCATATTGGTCTTATTGTAAAAGCCAACTGACATATGTTTAAAAGACAAAACTGAAAAAAACAACTCGGACCCAAAATTTCCCAAACACAAGATGCACATCCATCACAACATATTACTAATCTCACTAAATTCTTGCAACCACTATATGGCCACAATCAACATATACTGTTTTGTTTAAACCATGATCACTTTATGTTAACATTTAAACATATTTTTCTTCTTATTAAGCCTATAAAATCACAGACAGCATTTAACAAATTCCTGCCTGAATAGGTGGAAAGAGTGGATGATCATCCGTCTGGCAGGCAACAGAAATGTAGGACTTAGGAGCAGGCAGGGTCCTTGGGGGAGCAGAGGTGAAGGCCCATGGGGTAGGAGGCTCTTCCAGACAGGGAATTCGAGGTACTTCCAGCAGGGGTACTACTCTAGACAAATCTTGATAATCATCACTATATCTTTTCCAAGAAGGTGGTGGCTGAGGAGGTAGTGTAGTCAATGCAGGAGGATGCAAAGGAGGGAGAGTGGAGGGTAAAGGAGGTGCAGGAGGAGGAAGAAAAGGGGAGGGTAATGAAGTGACGGTAGCAGTGGAAGAAAGAGTTGGAGTAGAAGGAGGTGGAGGAGGTTGAGCTGGTGATGTAGATTTAGACACAAGTCTAGTCATCTGCAGTGTGCCAGGTGGAGAAGTAGTGACAGACAATGTTTTTCTCATTAGCTGTGGAGAATCCGGGGGTATGATTATCTAAATAGAAAACAGTGGGATAAATTAAGTCAGTAAAGAAACTAATAAATAGGGAACATAATACGTGTGTAACAAATAAGAATGAAGTAGACAAGGTCGCAAGCACTCCCAAAAGCAACTGTTCCACCACAAGCCAGCAATCCAATCCAAAACTTATTTTAGGTAATGCAGCCATTTGAATCAGTTTGCCCACTGGAGTTTCAGATATCACAGTCTTGTCTGGATAAAATATTGTCCTCTATATGGGCTTATTCCAAAGATATAGGGAAGTTGCACTCTTTGTCATGAGACGTTTCAAAACAATTAACCACAAAGATTAAAAGAGGAACTGCTGCACTTCTATGTGCTTATAAAAAAATGTTTACATTGAAAAAAAAATTCCCATGCACATTATATATGAAAATAGTTGATCATTTATGTTAAAGGGTAAAAAGATACCCCTGAAAAGAAGTGCAAAAAAATGACAACGGACTGACAAAAAAAAAAAAAAAAAATGCTGGCAGGCAAAAATGTAAAAAGTTGCAATTTAGCAATAGTCCCAAATCTTCAGGGTGTCCATGCAAAGCATTCTTTAGACAGACACATACACTTGTACCTTCTCAACCCTTTGTTCTGATGTTCGCAAATTTTTAGCAGGCTGAGATGTAATAATTACTCCCTCTGTCAGCCAATTATCTTCTGGGCTCTTGAAAGTTTCCTGCTTGTCTATGCCAAATCGCCCATGCAGTTCTTCAATCAGTCGGTCTTGCGAAGGACTCTTGTTATATATATAGCTGGTCCAAATTTTCTCCGAGGAGAAAGGTCCCGGGACATTGGATGCACATTAGGAGATTCTTTTGTCCTTTTGATCACAGACTTTATCTGAACATTAAATACAGTGTTACTGGACAGCAGCACACAATAGGCCTAAAAAAAATGGCCAAGTTTAGTCTCCAAGAGCACACAACACTCAATGAGAAGTACTAAATGTCCTTATTAGACATCACTGTTATGAGACACTACAAACATTCCAAAATGTGTTAGAGGTCATCGGCTTGTTCAAATACTAACCCAGGAAAATTTGCATGCACCTACAGAAAAGGAACGTCAGACATGCACATTTTGCCATGCACAGAAACCTCCATGCTTGCCTGACGTGAGGCTGAGATTCGTTCCCGTGCTGAAGTCTCTGGAAGTGTAACTTGGGAAGATTCCTCAGCCCAAGAAGGCTCCAGGGATTCAATTTCAGACTGAAATCCAAATGTTGTATGCTGCTGAAGAAGTCCATTGGGACAATGCTATCACCCTGATCACCAAAATACCGCGTAAAAGTGTAGTCGGTCCCTAGTTCAATACCTGCACCCCTCACTGGGTCTTCAGTTTTTTCAAGGGTTGACATTTGTGGGTATGGTAGTTGTGATAAATCTGTTTCTCCATCAACAGTTACTTCTTCATGTGATCCTATAACCTCAGACCTGTCTGTTCCATTAAGGGGATCAGTAACTCCATCAGGCTGAGCGACATTCGTTGATTTTGTATATTCTTGATAAACAAAATCAACCTCCTTCTTGACTTGAGGCTTTTTGAAAAAGCTTGGAAGATAAATGTCTGTTCTCAGACTGTATGCACTGAAAGGGTTAAACACTGGCTGATCCTTGCTGGCATCATCCATCTCTAAACCACGACTTTGTAGGGTAGATACTTTCCTGGAAGAGGGCGATGAAACAGAGCCTTCCTCCTCCTCAATGTGCAGGAGAACATTGGGACTGCTGAGTATGAGAGCCTCACACCCACTCTCTGGATTTGTGTGCAATGAAGTTGGTGGAAGACTACTACAAAGTTCAGAAATGGGCTCAGAAACAGCATGACATGTCTGCATTAGAAGTAGAAAGGGAGAAAGTGAAACTAAATGCAGTTGTAGAATAAAAATGGCAATGAAGCAATGTAATAAAAATTAGGTCAACATCTGCTTAGTAGAAATTACTCAGTTGTGCAGAGAATTTTATGAAACATTATTCATACAATACACTTTAGGCTGGCCATAAATTATACAATTTTCCTTCAGATTTACCAAAAAACATCCCGTATTTTTCACTCCATAAGACGCACTTTTTCCCCCCCAAAAAAGGGGGGAAAATGTCAGTGCGTCTTATGGAGCGAATATGGAGCGGCCGGTCCGGTATTTCTGTTGCCGCCACCGTGTCAGAATACCGGGCTGGCCGCTCAGCTTTTCTCTGCAGCAGGACCTTACCTGTTCCTCAGTCCAGCGCTGTACAGTCTTCCCGCGCCAGCATCTTTAGTGTGGGCACCCGGCTGTGACAGCCGGGTGCCCACTGCACATATAACAGGTCCCAGAAGACGCCAGGCCATTCACAAAGTGCAACGCTTCTCGCGCAGTGGGCAACCGGCTGTCACAGCCGGGTGACCACACTAAAGGGAGGACAACTCTGTGGAAGTGGGTACCTGTCAAATTCAGGTACCCGGTCCCCCTCCCCCCCAAAGGTCTGCAGTCTCTTGGTCATCCCCTGTACTGTGTCCGCAGTCTCTTGGTCATCTCCTGTACTGTGCCCGCAGTCTCTGGTCATCTCCTGTACTGTGCCCGCAGTCTCTGGTCATCTCCTGTACTGTGCCCGCAGTCTCTGGTCATCTCCTGTACTGTGCCCGCAGTCTCTGGTCATCTCCTGTACTGTGCCCGCAGTCTCTGGTCATCTCCTGTACTGTGCCCGCAGTCTCTGGTCATCTCCTGTACTGTGCCCGCAGTCTCTGGTCATCTCCTGTACTGTGCCCGCAGTCTCTGGTCATCTCCTGTACTGTGTCCGCAGTCTCTGGTCATCTCCTGTACTGTGTCCGCAGTCTCTGGCCATCTCCTGTACTGTATCCGCAGTCTCTGGTCATCTCCTGTACTGTATCCGCAGTCTCTGGTCATCTCCTGTACTGTATCCGCAGTCTCTGGTCATCTCCTGTACTGTGTCTGCAGTCCATTGGGTCAGAATATTTTTTCTTGTTTTTCTCCTCTAAAACCTAGGCGCGTCTTATGGTCAGGTGCGTCTTATGGAGCAAAAAATACAGTAAAATGAGGTCAAACCTAAAACACTTTTAATTGTATCCAATTAGGCAGGCCCATGCACTACATAATTGGAAGGTAATTCTGATGGAAATTGTACAGAAATCGTGCAGGAATTTGTAAAAAAAAATAAATAAATTGTATAGTATGGCCAGCCTAACATTTCACTGGATATAGTCAGTGCCTGAATCCATCTACAGGTGTGTAGGACAGATGCCTCTCGAAGTAAAAAAAAAAAAAAACACAAAAAACTTTCTGCAGGGTATGTGGAGAGGAGAAAGTGAGGTGTGACTGGAGGGAAGGTAACATTTTTACAATGCTTTCAAAAAGAAAAAAACTCAACGTATTTAAAAAACCAAGACCTTGCATCTAAGGGAGTAAACTCTATTTCCATAAAGTTTTTAACTCGTCTGGGTCCAATTGTCTCACGTATATCCATTGTGGGCACCTCTTGAGGGAGAGGAGATCAGTGAACTAGCACTGCAATCTTTGTCTACCTCTGACCAGTTGCTTCATCATGTCATCGAGCTACTGCAGTCTTCAGCATCTGGGAGGATTATGCTGCTGTACAGCAAAATGAATGGGTCCACGTCTCCCAGGAAAGGACGTGGATCTGATAAGGACACTCTTTACTCTATAATCCAAAAGGTACGATATTGCTCCTGCGATTAGAAGAGGGTGATCCCTAGCTGGATCTCAAAGCTTTACATTTTGGAGATGTAGCCAATGTGGTTGTAAGAACCTTACATATGCCAAGAGAAGTGACACAGATATGAAACAAATCCTCCTACATAAGTTGTACCTGTTTACTGTAGCCCTCTTCTGTTCAGCAGTTCAAAGTGCAGAAAGTGTACAAAAAATTATATATATCCTGAGTGTCAATAAAAAAAAAAAAAAGAAAACACAAAAGAACTACAAATAAAAATAAGAGCTGCTGCTGACACTCAGTATGCGTTCCCACAAACAGGCGATAGACGTAAACTATAACAGTGTCGCAATGCTACATAAATATTCTATAAAAAAATTATAGACAGTATTAACACACAGTGATAATATCCTATTCTAATGGTGACACCACAGAAACAACAAAGTTTATTTACTAAATGGGGTAATCTGGTTTGAACCACCTGGACACTGGGTGAAAAAAAAAAAAAAAAAAAAAAAAAAAAAAAAAAAAAAAAGGACAAACATTGCACTTTACTACCAAACAACTGGTAGTTAAATCAAACACTGGTTTGCATTGCATGGTGTGAAAAAGCATTTAGAAAAAATCTGGCAACTCTTCTCTTTTCAATTAAAAAGTGATACTTCCAAATAGAATGTGCTGTGGTTCGCTGCATCTCTAAGGGTGAAGAGGTGACTGTTCTTATCTATTCCTGCATGTTATAGTGCAACATGAACATTTTTATTGTATTATACAACATACACTATATTGCCAAAAGCATTGGGAAACCTGACTTTACACGTGCATGAACTTTAACAGTATCCCAGTCTTAGCCCGTAGGGTCAATATTGAGGCAGCCCACCCTTTGCAGCTATAACAGCTTCAACTCTTCTGGAAAGGCTGTCCACAAGGTTTACAAGTGTGTCTATGGGAATGTTTGACCATTCTTCCAGAAGCGCATTATGAGGTCAGGCACTAATGTCAGATGAGAAGGCCTGGCTTAGAGTCTCCGCTCTAACTTATCCCAAAGATGTTCTATCGGGTTGAGGTCAGGGCTCTGTGCAGGCCAGTCAAGTTCCTCCACCCCAAACTCACTCATCCATGTTTTTATGGACCTTGCTTTGTACACTGGTGCGCAGTCATGTTAGAAGAGGAAGAGGCCATCCCCAAACTGTTCCCACAAAGTTGGGACCATGAAATTGTCCAAAATGTCTTGGTAAGCTGACGCCTTAAGAGTTCCTTTCACTGGAACTAAGAGGTCAAGCCCAACCCCTGAAAAATAACCCCACATCATAATCCCCCCTCCACCAAACTTTACACTTGGAACCATGCAGTCAGGCAAGTACCATTATCCTGGCAACTTCCAAACCTAGACATGTCCATCGGATTGCCAGACAGAGAAGCGCAATTCCAGTGTGGCATGCTTTATACCACTGCTTCTGATGCTTTGCATTGCACTTGGTGATGTAAGGCTTGGATGCAGCTGCTCAGCCATGGAAATCCATTCCATGAAGCTCTCTACGCACTGTTGTGCTAATGTGAAGGCCACACGAAGTTTGGAGGTCTTTAGCTATTGACTCTGCAGACAGTTAATGACTTCTGCACACTTCAGCATGTGTTGACCCAGCTCTTTCATTTTACGTGGCCTACCACTTCCTGGCTAAGTTGCTGTTGTTCCCAGTTGCATCCACTTTGTTATAATGCCGCTAACTGTTGACCGTGAAATATTTAGTAGCAATTTAATATTTTACAGATGGACTTATTTCACAGGTGGCAACCTATCACAGAAGCATGCTTGAATTCACTGAGCTCCAAAGAGCGACCCATTCTTTCACAAATGTTTGTAGAAGCAGTCTGCATGCCTAGGTGCTTGATTTTATACACTTGTGGCCATGGAGGTGATTGGAACACTTGAATCCAATTATTTGGAGGGGTGTCCCAATACTTTTGGCAATATAGTGTATGTTTGAAAGATTTTTCCAAATGCAGTAGTCAAATAAAAAACATGATCTAATGTCTATACATTCATTTGTTCATGTGACAGTTCTACAAACTCACTATAGACAATGCAAAAAAAAAAAGAAAAAAGAAAAAAAGAAGAAGTAGAAATAAAGGCTTACCATTCTTAATGATGCATTTGTTTTTTTTATAAAACCATAAGAAAAATTAACACAGATTTCAGCCTATTAAATGTCTGCTTGAGATGAAATATTATATAGTATATTCAGGACCATACTAGCCATCGCAGAATGTAGGATCTGCACTAAAGTTAGATCCATACAAAATTCATCAATGCTAATCTGTATGGATGCTAGGAAATTAAAAAAAAACAAAAAAACAAAACTAAATTTCAAAAACCTCAGAAGAGAAATGTCTAGAGCAAGGACTGATTTGGCAACAATGACGCCCCAAGTACAAGTGAAAACATAGGATTTTTGACTTGCCTGTAAAATCTTTAGGTGATTGGACACCAACAAACAAAGTTGAACAGAAATCCCTAGCATAACCCCTCCCACTCCCAGCAAGTTTCAGTTTAGTAGCAAGCAATATGGAGTGAATCAGAAGAACAGAGAGTAGGGGCTTCCTGTATTGCACTCAAAGAAAAGAATTTTACAGGCAAGTCAAAAATACCATTTATTCATTGCACATTACAGGATATGGGAACTTGGTCTTACAAGACTGCGATATCCCAAAGCAAAACAAATGTGGGGTCGATAACACAACACACACTGGCAGGTCCATGAAGATGAACAAACCGAGGACTCAAAAACTCAGTAACTGAAAGCACCATGTGCCCCAAACTGGCAGAGCACTGAACATCCCACCTTGTAAAAAATCTTTACAAAACATTTAAACAGAAAAAAAGGCGGCAATCTTGTAAATACGTTAAACAGATGCCTGTTGTTGAAAAATTCCTGAAGCACTGACAAACCTGGTAGAGTGTGGCTGAACAAAAAAAAACAAAATAAATAAAAAAAAAAAACAAAACAAAGGGAAGAAGCTTATCATTTGAATGTATGCTGGAATGAGGACTTGTCTTGTCCACCAACCAACAGTGGAGCGAGAAGTAGATGTCACCTACTGGAACCCTCAGAACAGCATGAATCTGATTGTCTAAAAAAAAAGCTGTAGTTGAGAAGAAAAA